GGGGGGGGGTAGGGGGCCCCCAGCTGTCTCCTGTACCCTTTTTCTATCTGGTGGGGGCCCCCCTCTCTGTCGTCGCCCAGCAACTCGGTACACATCAGGGTTTATATATATTTTTATTAAAATAAAAAACAATAAAAATATAAATAACACACAAAAAAGAGAGATATGCAGCAGCTGGGGGCCCCCACCCCGGCTGTATGTACACTTGGGGGCCCCCGTCTCCTGCCGCTAGTTTTGTCTCCTCTTCAACCCCCTACGTATAAACCCTAGGGTTTAGGATTTAGGGTTTAGGGTTTACAAAGCCTAGGGTTCAGCCGCAGGGCACCCGGAGCTGCACCTGTTGCTCGAGGGGCCCCTGGGCCCCTGCTGTATAGGGGGCCCCCACCTGCCTCCCTGCAAGCCTCAGGGGCCCCCCGGTACCCTATAGGGGCCCCCGTGCAGCATGGGGGGCCCCCCTTCTTCTCCTGAGGGGGCCCCCCTGTCCCCTACCCCCAGGAGCCATCAAACCCCCTCTGTCTCCCCTGGGGCCCCCAAAGCAATCCATGCGGTTGCTGCAGCAGCTGCATGCAGCTGCGAGCCCAGCACCAGCTACCAGGGGCCCCCTGAGGGTCCCCCAGGGGGCCCCCATGAGAACCCTGAAGAACAGACTCAAGGGGGGGCCCCAGAGGGGCCCCCAAACGAGTACCCGGGGGGCCCCCAAGAGGGGGCCCCCGAAGCCATCAGAGGGGGGGCCCCCGAGGGGCCCCCAGGGGGGCCCCTGCTGGCTGTAGAAGAGAGAAGTTCACAAGGAGATAGAAAGCGGAAGTACCCTTACAACTCCTGTGATGAGGGGGCCCCCGAGGGGCCCCCTGAAGGGGCCCCTGAGGGGCCCCCTGAAGGGGCCCCCGAGGGGCCCCTCGAGGGTTCTGCTGAGGGGCCCCTGGACACCACCAACCCTCAGGAGGCCCCCGCAGTAGAGCCCCCCTCTGGTGCTGGGGGGCCCCCCTCTGCTGCTGGGGGGCCCCCCGTTGCTGCTGGGGGGCCCCCCGTTGCTGCTGGGGGCCCCCCTGTTGGCGGCAGGGGGCCCCCGCGTCGAGGGTTTGATTTGGGTTTGAATCTGCTGGCTGGGGTTTTAGGGTTTTTAGAGTTACCGGATTTCTTGAGGTGTCTCCTCGTATCCAGGCGAGCCAAACCCTAAACCCTAAACCCTAAACCCTAAACCCTTGAGAAATGGTTGTTAAGAGGAGAGGGAGAGAGGTTGAGGGTTTAGGGTTTAGGGTTTAGGGTTTAGGGTTTAGGGTTTGGAGGGTTCGTTGTGCAGGGCGTTTCATGAGGCTGCGTGCACCGCACTCAAGAACGTTACTTCTATTGGTGATACAGGTAAACCCTAAACCCTAAACCCCAAACCCTAAACCCCAAACCCTAAACCCTAAACCCTAAACCCTGGGCCTCACAGCCCCAAGGGCTTTAGTTGTAGAGTGCAGGCGAAGAGCTCTCAGCTGCAAACCGCCAATCCCTCTCTAAACCCTAAACCCCAAACCCTAAACCCCAAACCCTAAACCCTAAACCCTAAACCCTAATTGCGAATCTTTTTGTGGCTGCAGCTCGAGTGCTTCTAACGGACGAGCAGCTCAGGGTGCTCCTGAAGCGCTGGTTAGTGTAAACCCTAAACCCTAAACCCTAAACCCTAAACCCTAGACAACAAACCCTAAACCCTAAAATACTCTATAAACCCTCAGAACTATGCCCAGCAGTTGCTGTTTGTATCCCCACCGCCACATCATCGGCTCACCCTCTAGGGTTTAGGGTTTAGGGTTTAGGGTTTAGGGTTTGCGTGCAGCACGAACCTGAAAACCCTAGAGCTTGATGGTTTCTTACTAACCCCCAAGGGCCTCAGGGCCCTCCAGGGGGCCCCCCTAGAGGGCCTCGCGCTAGCAGGGATAGAGACGAAGGATGATGCTTTCTTAGAAGGTGCTAAACCCTAAACCCTAAACCCTAAACCCTAAACCCTAGACCCTAGACCCTAAACCCTCGGGGCCTGCAGGAGGTGGATGCATGGCTAAACCCTCAACACTCTAAACCCTAAACCCTACAGAGCTGCAGGGCGCGAACAAAAGCCTCACTTTGGGCCCCAAACCCTAAACCCTAAACCCTAAACCCTAAACCCTAAACCCTAGATGTTTTTGTGGTGCGCAGCTCTAAAGGACTGCTGCAAGGGTTTGAGATCCTTTGGCTTTGTTTGCTATGGGGGAGAGAAGTTCACCGAGGGGTTTGTATAATTCTAAACCCTAAACCCTAAACCACAAACCCTAAACCCTAAACCCTAAACCACAAACCCTCACCAGTAACCCTCGTATTTTGTTGCTGCATCTGCTGCCTCTGTTAGTATCAGCTCCTCCTTTGTTTTTTCTGTCTCCCCTCTGGCGCTGCAAGTTTGTTCGTTTAGGGTTTAGGGTTTAGGGTTTAGGGTTTAGGGTTTAGGGTTTGTGGTTTGCAGGGCTTTGAAGGGTTTGGGGAGTTCTCTAGAAAAGCTTCATACGGCACAAATAGAAGCAAAGCGGCAGCAGGTTGCTGATGTCCTCGTAGATGCTGTTGTTGCTGCTGCTGCACCTACTCTTACCAGGTGCTGCTGCTGCTGCTGCTGCTGCTGCTCTTGCTGCTGCTGCTGCTGCTGCTGCTGCTGGTGCGGCTGCTTCTCGTGCTTCTGCTGCTATTCCTGCTGCTGCTGCTCCTCTTGATGCTGCTGCTTTTGCTGCTGCTGACCTGTTGCTGCTGTTGCTGCTGCTGTTGCTGTTGTTGTTGCTGCTGCTGCTGCTGCTGTCTCCATAGCTTGTTGCTGGATACACTGTGTTAGATAAGACATTCCTGGCGTGGCTCGTTGCTAGGGTT